CCGCGGCGCGGAGCCGAGCGGGCTTGGGTGCTCCGGGCGGCAATGCGCGGCCGGCGGCGGCTGTGAGCTCAGCGGAGCGGCCCTGCAGGGGCCGCCGAATGGCCGCGGGTTGAGGCGGCGGCGGCAGCAGCGGCTCTTCGGGGCGAGGCGAGGCGAGGCGTGGCGTGGCGGCGGCCGGAGTGATGCTGCTCAAGCTCCTACAGAGACAGACCTATACCTGCCTGTCCCACAGGTATGGGCTCTACGTCTGCTTCGTGGGCATCGTTGTCACCATCGTCTCCGCCTTCCAGTTCGGAGAGGTGAGTAGCGGCGCTGCAGCCCCGCCAGTGCCCCTTCCCTGAGCCCGCGGGACCCCGGGGCTCGCCCAGCCCTGTCCTCGCGGTGCCACCTGCCGGGGCGCGCTGGCCGTCGCCGCCGCATCTTCTCTCCTGCGCCCGAGACCAGCCCAGAGCCTGTCCTTTCCCGGAGCCACCGAGAGCCGGGATCCTCTCCTGGGGGTCCCGTTCCGCATCTGGGGGAGACGTCTCCTTCTCAGGACTGCTTGGGGGGAATAGCGGCGGCGGCGGCACCTTCCAGGGTCCCCGTGTCAGTTGCGTTTCTCCATCAGGCCTTGTTCTCCCTCCCTCTCCAGTTCTCCCTCGCCCTCCTCCCCAGGGGCTTAAATCTTGCCCCCTTCCTCCATGCGGCCTTAGATTCTTAATCCTTGCCCCACCTGCAGTTTTCCTCTCTTGATCACCTTTCTGATCTTTTCTCCTTTGACAAAAGAACTTTAGTTTCTTAATGTCATTTTGCCTCGGGATCTCCAAACTTAAAAGTCCAAGGGATTGTCGGCTATTTGCATGTGAATTTGCAGTAGAGAGAGTGCAGGGACCCAGAATAAAAAAAAGATTGCGGTATGGAGGGCTTCTGAGGGTTTTGGGGTTTTTTTGCACTTTTACCCTGTTGTTTTGACAAGCTTTACGCCAGGTAGTCCATAGAGGTTCTGCGTGAAAGATTTCTTGGCAGCTCCAAATCCGTTCTCTTGTCCCGGGATCAGCTGAGGCTTGGGTCCCTTCACGTGATCAAGAACAGGGCAAAGTGTCTGGAACTGCTGCTGCACTTGACCTCCAGCGAGCCAGCTCCCGCCTTTGGGCCCGAGGAATAAGCTGAAAATGTAGGCTTCAGTTCTCATGCCCAGCCTTCTTGATCTGCTCTTAATGAATGTGCAATAAAGTCATTCGGTTAGGCTATGAACCTTTCTGGGTCCTGGCTACACGTTTACGAGGCGCAAACAGCTAGGATTAATAGATCTCCGCCCCTTTGGAGAGAGTCTTTAAACAGTGTCTTGACTGAAACAGCTCTTTGGCTTAGGTTTAGCAGTATTTTGTAAGGTATCTCACAGTGAGTCTAATTGGATATTCTTTATCACAGACAAATGTACAGAGAGCATGGCCAGGTCAGAACTGGAATAGTAAGCACAATGTGGTTTTATAGGGAACATTACTTTAAAAAAATTAAAAAATAAATACTTAAAGCAGCTAGGGGGATCCTCTATGCGCCAGGTGGTTGAAATATTTAAGGTTTTTTTGCTTGTTTTAGTAGGAAGTAACACAAAGCTTTGTTTTTATTGTAAAAAAATCTGTTTAATTTATATATGTTTTTATTAAATATTTTTCAAGTGTGCACTATGGTGATAGCGATTACATTAGTCATGTATAACTATCACCTCTAGTGATACCAAATTTCTCATCACCAGGAACAGAAGCTTACTACTTTTTAGCACAAATGGTTTTACATCTAACATAATGGTTTTTAGAAATCTTACCATATTAGGGAACTGTGGTTGCTTAGTGGATAAGGAGTTGCGCTGCCAACCCAAAGGCACATGGTTTGAATCTGCCAGGTGCTCCTCCTGTTTGATTGACTAAAAACTCACTAGAAGGTCGGCTATGAGTCAGTGGTTCTGACTTGAGATCATTTAACAACTACGTATGTCAGGGAGCTGGGCTACCATCGCAAAGGCACATGGTTCAAATTCACCTGCTGCTCCTCCAGAGAAAGACAGGCAATCTCTTTTAACCAGTTTTTAACCTTTGTGTTTAAACTGCAGCTGAAAACCCTCTGTGGGGTGGGTGGTAGCTGTGGGAGGGTTCTCACTCAACAGATGGGGGGAAAATGTCTTATCAGTAAGGATAAGATACTCAAATCCATTTCCAATTTAAAGTGGCCCTGAAGGCCAGAATAGAACTCTAGGGTTTCTAAAACTGTGAGTCTTTGAAGGGAAACAGAGTGCCACATCTTACTCTTGGAGTAGCTGGTGGATTAGAACCTCCAGTTTTTCCATTTGCAACCCAACACTTAAATATGGAAGTGTGGAATATATATTTAGATTATACCATGCCTATTTTCTCTTTGTTTCATATATTGCAATGTAATACAATGTATATATCTATGCCCAATTAAGTGTTTTATGACTCTGGTGGCCTACTGGCAAGAAGCTGTGCTGCAATCCTGAAGGCATGCAGTTCGAGGCCACCAACTGCTCCCTGGGAGAAAGATGGGCAATCTTTTCCCATGCAATAAATCGCCTCTAAAAACCCCCTGGAGGGTCAGCTATAAGTTGGTTCCACTCATGAACAGTAAACAACAACCACAACCATTGTTGAAGATTTTTTTCTTTTTCATTTTCTTTTTTTATTTTATTATTTTTGTGTGCGTGTACCATCAAATCAGATCTGACTGGTACAGGAGGAGATTGTCCCTCCTTCCCCGGCAGAGCATCTGGTGGATTTGAACCGTTCGCCTCTGGGATTGTAGTTGCAGCTCCTTGCCACTAGGCCACCAGAGCTCCCCTTTCTTTTTCATTTCTAAACATAAAACTTTATTGCATTTCTGGTTGTGTTCCTTTGTGTGAAGATTTTTTTTTTTTTACCTTGATTAATTTTAAGCCAGTTGTTTGTTTACTTTTACTCAGTGTGAAGGTGACCTAAAGGCATCAGTTAGAATTTTTCGTTCTTTTTTTTCTTTTGCTTTCATCTCATGCCCAGTTTTTCTTGTTCCAGCAAGAAAGATGTTGATTGAGTTCTGGAAAAGGCCACAGATACTAACATTGGAGTAGAGAAAAGAAATCAGTTGTAATGTCAACACGTATGTTAGAAGTGGAAGCAGCTGACTCCATGGTTAACTTGAACCTATCAAACCACTGCTGTCCAGTGGATTCCTGTTCCTAGAGACCAGACAGGACAGAAGAGAGGCATAGAGTTTTTGAGGCTGTAAATCTTTACTGAAACAAATGAACTGATCTTTCTCCCTCAGAGAAGCTAGTAATGTTATCACCTTTTGGTTAGCAACTTAACCCACAGTGGCTCCTTGTAACTTGTACCTCCCTTGTCCGTAAAAAACCCCAGCAAACCAAAAACAACACAAAAAACCCAAATAAAACAACACAACACCAAGAACCAAACCCACAGTTGTCCGTGCACTTCCACACAGGATTCAAACTGCTGAGCTATTGGTTAGCAGCCCAGTGTGTTACTTACCATGCCACCAGGATGCATTTTTAACTTGAATAGCAGAGTGGAAAATGGGAGGAGTAGGGTTCTTTAAATTTGGGTTTAACTATAGATTCCAGTAATAATAACCATGTTAATAACTAATGGTTATGCAGTGAGAGTGCTTCTTTTGTGCTTTTGTTAGGTGCCATCAAGTCAACTGCAACTCATAGTGACCCTGTGAACAACAAATCCAAACCTTGTCAATTTTGATATCCTTGAGCCCAGGTTACAGTCACCGGGTCAATCCTTCCTATTGAGCTTCTCTTTCACTAGCATGATGTCTTCTCCCAAGGACAGGCCTCTCCAGACAATAAGCCCCAAGTATGTGAGACAGAGTGTCATGGCAGTTTGTTGGATGTTTGGTACTCTTCTCCAACTCAACCGCTCAAAAGCGTCGATTCTTATCCTTATTAATTTTCATTTCATTTGCTTTCAGATGTGTAGGAAACCGTTGAAATACCGTGAGATATCAAGTGCACCCTAGTCTTTTAAACTGACATCATTGCTCTTTAGCACTTTGGCGAAGTCCCCAACAGCAGATTTCCCCAGTGCAACATGGCATTTGGATTTTTGACTGCTTCTACCATGAGTGTTGATTGTGGATCTAAGTAAAGTGAAATCATTAACAACTTCAGTTTTTTCTCCATCCATTATGGCCTGTTGGTCCAGTGGTGAGAATTTTGTGCCAGAACATTCTCTCTCTCTCCATATATTTACACACACACACACATACATACACACACATAAATACATATATATGTATACACATACATACACACATAGCCTTATTTCTTTATTAACAGATCTGATTAAATCTTGACAATGAAGGATCCTAGGTAGTGTAGTCATTAAAAGTCCTGAAAGGGCTCACATCAAATCTCAAAACACCCCACACCTAAAAACTGCTGCTCCAGTGACCTGGTGATCTACTCCAGTAAATTGTCACATGCCTGTGGTCTGAGCCACCTCCAAGTGTAGACCTGCCCCGTTAGGGTTTCCTGGCTGTGGGTGACACCTCTCGAGTGTGCTAGCCGCTAATTGCACAGGAGAAAAGATGGGCACTTTCTTTCTGTGTGATTTCCAAGCTCCTAAAAACCCTCTGGCTAGCCAGCTGTGAGGCCATTAGACTGGAGGCCAGTGAGTGTGAGTTTCTGTCTATGTGGGAGTAGATTGCCATGTCTTTTTTACTTCTGAGCTGCTGGCTGGGCTAGAGCCTCTTAACTTTGGTCATCAGTACAGCCAGTCCAACCACTAGGACTTATGGTCTGTTGGTGGTGTAATGTTGTTGAGTCCAGTAGAACTCGTGTGACCCTCATCATCTCTGTCGTACCTGAGCCCACGGCTGCCATCACTGTGACAGGGTCTTCCTATCATCTTCAAAGCTCTAAAGAGCAGTTCTATTCTGCTATATATGGCCACTCTGAGCTGCACACAAAACTATCATCATCATAATTACCATCAACACCTGTTTACATCCTCAATCTCTATTTTGGAATGTAGTCCTTGATAGAATGTACCCCCCCCGCCCCCGTTTATTCCTGCTGACTAACTATGATTATAACAAGTCTGTGTGGGAGGAATTGGGAGCCACGGTGCTGCTGAGATGCAAGGATGAAACTTGGTCTCACATAACTTTGGGCATGTTGTAAGGAGGGACATGGGAAGACATGCTGGTAAAAAAGGTGGAAGGTCAGAGAGAGAGAGAGACTCTTAACAAGATGCACTGACATGGTGATTCATTGATACATTGAGAGAGCTCAGACATA